AGTTGTATTCACTTGTATTCAGGTTTAATCAGTTGTATTTAACTATTTTATTCAGCAGTAGTTAGTTGTATTCAAGTGTTTTATACAACTGTATTCAGTTGTAGTTAGTTATATTCAACTATTTTATTCAGTAGAAGTTTGTTGTATTTTGTTGCATTCAAGAGTTTATTCAGCTGTATGCAGTTGTATTTTTGTTGTATTCAAGTGTTTTATTCAGATGAATTAAGGTGTATTTTGTTGTATTCAACTGTATTATTCATATGCATTTCTCTTTATTCAGCTATAATCTTTATTATGTATCTTTCAAATACAGATTAATGAGGGATCGTTTTAGTTCGTTGAGTTAAATTAGGAGAATATCATGTGATTTTATTTCCTTCCGTTTTTAGCGCAGATACGCTACTGTATTTAATGTTAATGTCGCTTGAATACAGCTAAATACATGTCAAATTAGCTGGAATTCCAGATTTTACGCCTATATTTTTTGTTGTATTAATGAATACAACAGCTTAAATACATGAAATACATTGTATAAAAATATAAAAGGTATCTATAACACGTAATATAGCAAAGAGTATCTATAAATGGCTAATTAGACCAAAAAGATGTGCTTTATGAAAAATTCCCTTGATTTTACTAAATTGTTTCGAGTTGGATGTACTAAATAGAAGTCACTTGATTCATCGATGAAACAAGTCACTCTCACTTCTTAAGATGACAGTCGGGCAAGATTTACAATTACATTATCACTGTCCTTTCACATTATGCAAGATTAATAGCATGTTTGGTCAAACTTTTAAAATTAGTTTATTTTAACTAATTAATTTAAAAATACTTTTAAGTAGTAATTAGTATTTGATCACGCTTTGAAAAGTATTTTTAAGTGTATTTTTTATTTTTAGGGAGAACTTATTTTTTTTCTTCTCAAAAATTATTTTTACTTCTACTCAAAAATATATTTTTCCTTCTAAAAATTTAACCAAATATTTTAACTTTGAAAAAAAAAACACATTTAACTAAAAGAAGCTTAGCCAAAGATGCTACTGATAAGTTTGAAGAAGTAAATAATTTTGTTTTTTGTTCATCCACAAAACATAGGCTAGATATTTATTTAGTTAATAGTAAAGTCAGAACATAACATGTTGAGTTCATCTGATTTGTCTACTGAGGAGATAAAACAAGACGTAATTAAGCATTTTGTGCACAGTTACAAAAGAGCAAAAGACAGCTTGTGTGATCTATGTTGGAAGTTTGTACTTAATATCTGATTTTCACCTACAAAGATATTTTCATCTACAAATAGACCACAGAAAACAAAGTGTAACTAAGGGTGTGTTTGGTATGAGGAAAATACGAAAATATTTTCATAATGTAGAAAAAGTACTTTCTTTCATTTCAACAAACAAATTTTTTTTTTATGTAGAAAAAATATTTTCTTTCATTTTAATAAAATAAGTATTTTCTTTTCATGATGTAAAAAAAGAATTTGCTTTCATTCAACAAAATGAGTGCTTTCTTTTCATGTTGTAGAATGGATACTTTCTTTTTCAACAAAATAAAGTATTTTCTTTTTAGTTATCGAACTCAAATTTCAATGTTGTTCTTGTGTGAACAAGTAAAGTAGCACATTAGTGCTTTTGGGTTTATGTGAATTTTGAAAAGAATAATTAAATTCTTAAAGAAAATAGAGTCCGGAGGGAGGGGGTGGGGGAAGGAGTACAAAAAACATTGGGATTTTGGGAAAGGTGGGTTGAAGAGAGTAGCATAAAAAATTATTTTCCTAAAATATTTTATACACTCTAACCAAACACTAGAAAATATTTTCCGAAAAAAGTTTTTCACTCACCAACCAAATAAGAAAAAATAAATAATACTCATTTTCCAGAAAACCATTTTTCTTCGTACCAAACACACCCTAAGATAATTACATTTTCTGTCATATATGAATTAAGAAAACGCGTAAAGTGGGATAAGAATTGCCAAAAATAGAATGTTATATGGCAGCTCACACTCTAGTAGTGACTTTGGGTTGACACCTAAATATGTAATGTAATAATAAGTGCCCTATGAGTATGTGATTAACCAGTATTATCACCTTTAGGCAAAGATGAAAATGGCGTTAAACTGAATGATGACCCTTTTTAAATTCCTTGTGTTTTTAGCTATTTTAGTGTCAAGTTATTTTATTGGTTATTTCACTTTAACATCAGGAGTTTATCAAATTTATAGAAATGCTATTTGACATTTTTTAGACGAATAATGGAGTCAATCAATTTAACCTTTTTCCAATTTATAGCATGTTAGGCCAAGATTCTAAAAATGCTTATTTGCAAAATTATTTTTCTTAAAAGTGTTTTTAAAAAAAGTATTTTTGGTGAGAATCAATTTGTGTTTATCTAATTAATTGAAAAAGCATTTTTGAGCAGTAATTAGTATTTACTCAAACTTTTAAAAATTGCTTCTAAGTATATTTTTTTCAAAACTGCTGTTTAGAAAAGTGTTTTTAGAGAGAAACTATTTTTTTTGCCTCTCAAAACTAATTCTGCTTCTACTCAAAATTAGTTTTTTCTTTTCTAAAAGCTTGGTCAAACACTTTAATTTTGAAAAAAGCACATTTAGCAAGAAAAGTACTTTTAGCCAAAAAGAAGCTTGGCCAAACAGGCTATTAATCATAACAACTCTCTTGGGGATCGTTTAGTATGATGGATAAACAAAAGTAATCCTGGGATAAAAATTTAGTATCGCCTTATCCCTTATTTGGTTACTAATCATAGGAAAAGTTATCATAGGATTAAAAATAGTACCAGGATAACTTATACCTATTAGAGTATGGGATAATAATCTCAGGTTAAATTATCCTAATATACAACAATAAAATTGACAATCTCAGGATTAATTTAATATACCAAACAATAACAACAACAATAACAAACCCAATGAAAATCTCACAAGTAAGGTCTGAGGAGAGTAAAATGTACGCAGACCTAACCTTATGATGGTAGAGATGTTGTTTCCGAAAGACCCTCGGTTCATTAACATACCAAACAGTCAATAAAAAATAATACCAGAATATCTAATCCCAGCATAACTTGTATTCAAACCAAACGACCTCTCAAAGATTTAAAACAATCAAGGAATTCTTCAAAAGTTTAACCAATAGTGTAATTCTGTAAAGTTAACTGGAAGCTTTCTATACTTTTAACAAATTACAAGGACTTTCTCAGTCATTAGTGAAACTTTATTTTCAAGACTATAAATTTAAGGAAATAGCCGGAAGCCAACAACACTTAGCATTCACTTTACATTTGAGTCCATTATGATACTCAGTGCTGAAGAAACATCAATGGCAGAAGCTTTTGTTTCCTTTCTCATTGAGAGGATTGAAGGAGTATTGAAATTAAACAAAGGCACACTCTTATGTGGTGCTAAAAAATGTGTGAAAGATCTTCAATCAGAGCTCATGAAAACGAAGCAATTTCTTAAAGATGCTGAAGAGAAACAAATGGAAAACAAAAAGATAAGTGAAATGGTTGATAATATTCGAAGGATTGCCTTCAAGATTGATGATAAAGTCGAAGAATATGCATTTGAGGTTGCGAAAAGCCGAAAATTTTGGATCAAAGGATTAATGGCACACTATAAACGTGTTTATTATGGTAGGCAAAAGAAGTTTCAGTTGGAAATGGTAGAATTTAAAGGTAAGGTGAAAGGTTTCACAAGGAGTTTACAACTTCATGGTGTGAAGAAGATAATGCACGAAAAAGATTGCGGTAAAATCGTTGGCTTAGGTAAATGGGAAGAAATTACTATGGTTAAGAAAATGGAGAGTAATTTTGAAGGTTTTATTGGTATGGAGAGTATCTATGTGTTTGACAAGGATATGGTAATGCAGAAGGCAAAGGTGAAGGATCAACATTTTGAAAGAATTTAGAGTTTGCATGTTGCAGAATGTTTATTTATTTAACCACTTGCTGCATAGTATGTACTAGTAATTTCTTGACTATATTTTGATGTTGCAGTGTAAGAGTATTTAGTCATTGACTGATGGTATTTAAACAGAAGACTTTCTTATTTTGTAATTTGCTATGCTAATTGTAATTGCATTAGAGAAAACTAGTGTTACCTGCAAAGCTACTGTGAACAAAATGAAGGATCAAACTTCAAAGGATGGAAGGATTGGCAAGAAAGATCACAAAGCAAATGAAGAGTGATTTTGGACATTTTTCATAATATGGGACATTGGAGTAAGGTAAAGTTGTTTCTGTTTGTCCTATAGATCATGGGTTCGAGCCGTGGAAGCAGTCACTAATGCTTGCATTAGGGTAGGTTGTCTATATCACACCCTTTGGAGGGTGCGACCTTTCCACGGACCCTGCATGAATACGGAATGCCTTGCTCATCGAGCTGCCCTTTTTTTTAATTCATAATATGCCGTTCTTTCTGGACTATATTTCGATGTTTGAATGGTATGCGGGGTAACATTTCCATGGAGGGGGACAGTAGAGTAACGGTAAAGTTTATGTTTGATCTATAGATCACGGGTTCGAGCCGTGGAACCAACCACTAATGCTTGTATTAGGGTAGGTTGTCTACATCAACCCTTGGAGGGTGTGGCTCTTCCACGGACCCTGCATGAATACGGAGTGCCTTGTTCATCGAGCTGCCCTCTTTTTTTAACTTCATAATATGCAGTTCTTTATGGACTATACTTCGATGTTTGAATGGTATGCGGGATAGCATTTCCATGGAAGATTTACTTATATACTATAAGTATTCAGTAGCATAATTTACCATGTTACATTAATGAAAATTACTAGTACTTGTAAAGCCATACTGAGCACTCTGACCATGGTTCACAAAGCAAACTAGACAGTGATACTGGCAACTTTAAGTTGGCGTTTCAGTTTTGTATTTCATGACTTTGCGAAAATGCTAGTAACTTATTGTCGCAGAGGCAGAGGATTAAGAAGTAAAATACTGAATGTACGAAACAATCCACAAAAAAGAACGTGCTTTTCCAGCATACATATATGCAATTTCACCAAAACATAACATCAGCATTTCTTTTTTTGATTGTTAACATCAGCAGTTCTTTTCAAAAACAAAAAAAGCCTAGTGCTTCTTGATTTCTTTTTCACCACTAATGCTTCTTGATTTACCTATATCTATGTGAGTTATCGATGAGGTCAGTATATCATCAGCGAGAAGGAATCTTCATCAGGATCTACTTCCTAGCTCCTGCAAGATAAGATTAGATATAAAGATCAAATGAAGATATAAAGATGTTCACGATCAGCAAGCTATTTGAAGCGAAACACATGCATTAATAGTTTCCATTACTACAGCGCCTAATAAACAGTTTGATGCTCTAAAGGCATTGTAGGTAGAACTGTAACAGAAGCAACATACTCATTAAACAGTTTCAAATATAAAGGGCGGGAAGAGATGCAAATATAAGAGGAGAATAAGTTAGAGAAGGAAGCAACTAAAATGGTATGTATGAAGCCAATTGCATCTTCAATGAAAATATAGCCAGGGAACACCCGAATATTATTAAAGATATTTAGTATATTTAAGTGAGTACTTGTATGGGTGTATTTGATGCACTTCTGGCACATAGTAATAGGTATCATAAAGCTCTAGAGAAGTACTGAGGTCAATATGCACATGAAAATAGGAGGCAGATTTTACTGCTAGGCTTGTATAAGAAAGAGGAGTAAAAAGATGAACTGACTCTTCAAAGACTTGATGTCTCGACAAAGTTCGCTTCCACAACAACACTTGAACGCTTTCACTGGATGACTATGATCGGTGAAGTCAATACCATAATCCTGCAATGTTTCATATTTATAATGATTCTTTGCGAGTCTCAGTCAACAACTAGTTAAAAAGAAATTACACTTTCTTTGACTTAACTCATGCTTCCTGTACATTAAGATGAGAGTTATAAAACGATAATGTTCAACATAGATGGGGGCATTACCCAAGTTAACTCTTCTAAAGCATTAACTTTCCTCGTAGTGAAAAAAGCAACCTGCGGTGACATGAAAAAAGATGTTTGATGTGATTTTCCACGCATTTCTAAATAACAGAAGGATACTGGCAGCGAAAACAAAGATAACAAATACATGGTAGTAGTGATGATCCGGAGTCTCTACTTCAACTGGGATCTCAACCAAGTTAGCATCATAACATCTGACCAAGATAAAATTACAATGTGGTTAGTTTCTGTCCACATTGGGAAGAGAAAAAGAAACAACAAACTTTTCTTCAACATAAATATGATTCGTAGAAACAAAAGTTAAAAGCAAAGAACAAGCTATTGATTTTGCACCCAAGAAGAATAATGGAAACTTATAATGATGCTCCACTGGTGGATCATTCCATGTCAAATTTATTTCATAAAGAAAGCGATACGAACAAAAAAGTCAATTGATTGATTATACCTCTTCATGCCAGATATAACGTTGCATCTAGTGTTTACCTACTACTTTTCTTTTCAAATTTGTGTACCAAAGTAATAGAAAGAAGAACAGACCCCGCTGAAAGAGTGAAGGCGAAAATATTAATTCCAAGAATCAGAGACCAAGGGTACCATTTAAGTGCTGTGACAGGAATTATTTTCAAAGTGAGACACAGAAGGAGACAGACTGCAAAGAGTAAAATACTTTATGAAGTTAAGCCATGCATTCAGGTGGAGAAAGAGGGGGCAAAGCAGTGAAGAGATGCAGGGAAGAATAGAGAAGTGATGCTGAAGAAGTAAATCTAATTACATTGTTACCTTTAATGCATGATACTGTACACATTCTCATGAGACATAGTACTTAAACCAAAAAGTCATAATCACAACTGCTTCTTAAATAGGTAACAGCTGGTGGACATGAATATTATCTACTTTGCTTTAAAAGTGTACAAACCACCTATCACCTGAAGGGCAACTACAAAGAGTAAAGGATGAGAATTGGAGACTAACCTATGATTAATGAACCTTGCAATATTGCCATAAGAAGTAGCATCCAAACAAAGTGCCTCTTCATCCTTCAGGACACCTTCCGAACCCCAATCTGCATCTAGCAAAACTGGGTATGTGTGTCTCTCATCAGCGGTTTGCGTGTTTCGCTCATACAACTCCGTGTTGGTCACTATTTCTCCTACATATTCACAGACAAAAGCACCTCTAGGCAAATCCTCCAGTGTCCTGAGCCCCCAACCTTTTCCATGAGCTGTCATAAACACCTGATATGCAGGATAAGAATGTGTCAAGCAATTTCTTAATACTGTAGGTTTCTATAAAAGTATTCAACATGCACTAAACCTTTTCTTTTTCTTTTTTGATAAATCAAACAAGTATAATTTATATCACACCAAGATGGCAAAAAACAATATGTACAATATAGGTTTGCAGTTCAAACCATAATCATCTATCATGCTTTCCCTGACCAAGAATTTATATGACATAAAAGTCATTTCTAATACTCCTAACTTCATTATCACTATTAGTGAAACAATCTCCTCTTTCTTATGTTCCAAATGAGCCAAAGTGGTCGAACCTGAGACCCTTGGTTTGCAATATTTTTCTAACCTGCAATGGCACTGCTATGCCTCGCTGAACAACACGATTCCCACATTCCCTGCTGCAGCCGCATTTATGCCAGCACTCTTTGATAAATTTCCTCACCAAATGACCCTTGCACACGCCAGACATGCTATTGTTCTTAGACCTTTCAAGGGGACAGTCTTGACAATATACTAAACCATGCCTTTGGGGTTCACGATTCATTGAGATGCAATTCTCGAGAAACTTTTCCTTGAGCAAACCACCTGATGTGTAGGCAAACTCACCCCCTGTTTCACCAGCACAAGCACAGGGTATATCTGGAGACAAACAATCCTCACTGCAGTTTGAACAACAGTTGTCATCCGATATACGAGCAAGAAGAAACTTCACATATGCATTTTGGAAAATAATGTTCTTAGGTATGTACTTAAAGACAGGCAAGATCTCATGGCTGAATTCATTGATCAACGAAATTCTATGCACCTCTTGACCATTGGTGATGTCTTCAAAATAATAAGCAGAACTAGGAAGACCAGGAGATGAGGTGTTTTTCTGAACAACCAATGAATTCTTCATCGTTGAAGGCGCAAGGAGTTTAAGAACCTTATTAGTTTTGTCCTTTTCAGCACCATGAATCTTAGTACCATTAAAATTCATCATATAGCACACTATATCCCTATTTCCAGAAGCTGGAAATTTTGGAATTTGAGGTGAGACTTTGATAAGATTCGACAACTTGAATGAGCCATTGCTAATGTCTGGAGCAAAGTGTAATTCATGATTAGCAGCATCATATCTCACACCGACTGGATGAAGTTTCTGAGACTCTATCCCAGCTGATGGCTCATTTGCTGGCCTAGCCTTGGTGCCAGCCGTCAGATAGCATTCACACAGCTTTTCCATCAGCCTCAACAGAGAGAAATCAGGTTGAGAAATTCTATAAGACTTTATATACTTTTCCTCCATCCGCTTCAAGACTGCATCTAAACTTGGTGGATGAAAATCTGATGAGCAATATGGCTTATGGGCAAAGAAGATCTTCACCTCCCCCTTCTGAGAGGAAGCAATATCTAGTTGTGATGAACTTGTCACACCTTTTCCATTTCCTTCTGTACCCAAATATTCAGAGTTGAGAAACTCCAAGTCTTGTCTTTCAATTCTTCTTGAGCCTTCTTCAAATAATTGACAGGAAGGAGCTATTTGTAAAAATTCAAGTCCAAAGAAAATGAGAGAATAAAGCTTCTAGGTTATAGATAGCATTCACATTTTGGTATGACTGAATTTGACAACAATACTAAGAGGAACGGAATGCAAATAAAATGATTCCAATCTCAGAAGTACAATTTACCAACAGATATATTTTCCATGTGGTTTTACCCAGAAAGACAATTTACCCCCATCTGATGGAACAAATACTGATGTTCTTTATACACATCCCTTTTTCCTTTTCATCAAACAACATATTAAAAGTTGGACCTGCTATGAGCAGAAACTAAAATAGAGTTACTGTAAACCTTAAGAATCTCCATTAGGTTATCTTGCATAAAATCAATTTAAGATTAAGACCCCGAAAGAAGGAGGAGAAATTCATCAGCCTTAATCAACTTCAAAACAAACAGAGAAGAAGATATAGCTTTCCAGCTCAATGAAGAGTAAAAGACGTAGCCTTTCCGATAACAAGTGTTTATAAAATCACATATTCGCTTCGTCCGAAGACAAATCACTAGAACAAGACCAAATTCATTGAACTTTCCCTCAGAAAAATAGCAACTTTGGAACTTCATAAGAAGGAATGTATATTAGTGGAGAAAGTTGCAGCATAGCAGTTTGCCTATGCTGTCTTTCTTTGGCTTTCAGATTCCACATTAACTTCTAGAATAAAGTTGTTGACATTACCAAGTTAACCCTTCTCTGTTTCTTCCTTTTAGTCAATCATTTCAATATTCATATTCCAATTTAGTACAAAATCACCAAAACAAGCATATATGACGACAAGAGAAACTTCAAAAAGAAAAATCCATCAAGAGAATATCAACTGAATGGGTATCCAAACTCGAAATAAGGAACAATCCATTCTATATTTCAAAGTATCAAAACCATGTGTAGGAAGAGAGACAGATGGATCTTATTATAGTAAACTCTAAATATCGAAGGAATACCTGAAGGAGCAACAGCAAGAGGAACATCAAAATCTGGAAGGTTATCAGAAAAGGGCTCATTTAGAGGCATAGCATCACGAAGGTCGTACTCAACAAGAGCACCTTCGTTGGATGCATCAGAAGAACCTATACCACTTGGCTCTTCCCGGCAACCAAAACACAGTCTTCTTTTAGGTACCAGAGCAGGATATGAAAGAGATGTGTCACCCCTTTCCTTTATAGTCAAATGAGGTAACATAGTAACAGGTTCTTTCATGTCATTATCAGAGAGTAGTACAATGTCATTATCCCGCTCTGAAATAGGAGAAGCCTCTGAAGAACTCTGTTTCTTACCTTTGCCCTGATAATCTTTCAAGAGAAGAGGCTTCAGTTCGACATCCTCAGTTTCATAAGACTCAGGGGTGAACCCAGCCATCTTATGCTTGCTGGGAGGTTGCAACTCTGAAGTACATGTGTCAGCACTAGGACTGGGATCATGTTTAGCAGGTGAGGAATGATGTCTTTGAGAGCAGAACCTAGATCTTTTCAGTGGTGGTTCATTTTCTTCTGGCTCATCTTCCAACAGGGATTTCTGCCTTTCCTGATCATCAGTGAAACTATAATCAATTATCACATGCATTCTCATAGGAAATTGAAAGGAAAGATGTGAAGATGGATGAACGGTCTGTGTTTCATTTTGTGCATGATATCAAGATAGACAGAAATATTACCATACATAATCTATAGAAAGGATTAACACATTGCAAGGGGTATCATGTGATGATGAACAATGGAAATAAGCACTGAAGCTTAAGTAATCATAGGGAGCACCTTTGACTCCTCGCTGTCTATAAGAGACTCCAAAAGAGCAGAATAATTCTCATCTTCAATAAGCTTCCAGTTTTTGTTGTACAGATTCAGAAGGTTCCTCAATACTGGCTTCACAATTTCTTCAGTATAGCCAAAGACCTCCATTGCCTCACAGGCCCTTTTCACCTTTGACTTCAACGCCATTTTATATTACCAATGCAGAACTTGAAGGAGCTCAATGAGGTTGAGGTACTGCAGTAGCTGCTTCCTTTCAATGCAAAAATAGAGTTAAAGCATTACTTTTTGATAACGAAGAGCAAAAACACAAAATCTGCATTATAACCACAAACAAGGAAACACAAAAACACCATCTGAATTTTACCAACATAATGACTGGAAGTACATTAAACTTAAGAATACTAACTTACTAGATGACATTCCAAGTTGAAGGTATCCAGTACAAATCTATGAAGACTCCTAGCATTTTTTTTCCAGAAGCTAATTGGAGGTGTAAAATATTGGTCTTATCAAATGCTGCTACATCAATTAGAAAAAGACACTGTATGACGTTGTTAAGCATCAAGACGATACTTCATCATGTACAGAAATTCCTAATAGAGCTCAGTCTGAAACAGCAGAAAAGACTCGAATGCACAATAGTCTCTTCATCAACCAAAATACAATTAATGCAGCGGGAGAATTATTTCCCATATTTCACCAAGTCATGTTTCATTACTGACATCTCACAAACACTATTTCTTTTTTATCAGTAAACATGTTCTCTATAGCCGAAAGGAAACGACAGCGGAATGGTGATCACAAGTAGATCCTACTTGTCAAACTTTGTTCAATCAGACATCATCCTACCACTAACGAAAAAGAGCTTTATAATCACAATATGACAATGTTAATACTGCTGAGAAAACCCATTTGTCACAAGAAAAGATGTTGATGGGTGTTTTAGCCTTTTCGGACACAATATTGAGGGGGGTTATCTACAAGGAATTGAACAAATTAGTCCCATGACAGTTGTATGGTTCCACAGAGCAATAGAACATCAATTTAACAGAAACTGAGTCCCCACTTCAGCTGTGTCACAAATACACTTACTGTAATGTTATTCTTTACACAAATACCGCCTGCCCCTGCCCACACATGATTACTATGCTTTAAGTTAATTAAGACCATCTTCAACCAGTAAAAACAAATATGAGGTTCTCTTTAACTGCAACTTTGCTTCCAAAACTCCTTTTACTACTACCTCCCATCCAAAAATGAACAGGGGATTTGGAGTGCAAAGGTCAACATATCTTATTTCTGTGAAAATTTGGACATTCATGTTTTCACATATTTGAAAGTACAATTAAGAAATACATAAATCACACAATGCAACAGTTAAAGAATGTTTTAAAATATTAAAAAAATTATAGTTGAAAAAAAAAAACTTGCTCACCAAATAGTAATAGTGTTAAATACATACAATTAAGCAAATAAAAGTATACTCTCTAATAATTTAAACTTTCAGATAAATGATAACACACTTGCACCCAAAGATGCCGCCTATTGATCAATGAAATAGATTGAGAATCATGAGGTCTCAGATTCAATACTTAGGGGAGGTAAGAAACAATAAGTGATTTCTTTCCATCTTTCCAAGCCTTGGCGGACAGAATTATCTGACACCTGTGCCAGTGGGAGATAGCAGGTATCTCGTGGAATTAGTTAAAGTACGCCCAAGTGGGCCCGGACACCACGGTTATCAATGAAAAAAATAATCACAGACTATAATATGGTATCAGAACCAGCATAAGACTCCCACCCATTATCAAAAAAGAATTCACATGTGCTTGACCCAGGCTCGCACTTAAAGGGTGTGTCGAAGACATAAATTAAGTAAATAACAATCCACTCTCTAGCTTAAAAGAGACCTTCCTAACATTTATGCCTCAATAGACAGAGTTATCCGATACTCATGTTTGTGAGATATAACAAATACTTGGTGGAATAGGTGAGGTGCAAGCAAACTAACCGGAAACCACCCGAAGCAAAAAAATAAAAAAATAAAATGAAATAAAATAAAAAAAAATAAAAAGACAGAGAATGGCATTATCAGCATCTGATAGCACTCCCAAGCAAATTTATTAGCCTTAAACAAGCACAGTAAGAATACCAAAAAATCATAAATAGAGGAAACTCTTCTGTTATTTTATGAATATTTGGCAAAAAACAGAATAAACCTTTAGTGCACGCAAGAAACAAAACCACTGTGATTTCACCAAATCATACGAGGAAACCCCCTATTTAACAGATGAAACATAAAATAAAAATTATCAAAAAGAAAAATCATCAACACCGTAGCGTAGTAAAATCAGAATCAGGTATTAGAAAAATAAAAAAAATTACAAAAAACGTAATAACACAACAAAATGTGAAACAGATCATATTCCAAATGAGACAACCAAAATTCTTTTTCTGAAAACATAAGGAACACAGCAAAAATGTTCTTAGTTCTGGGTTTTTATAAGATTGAAACTACAAAAAAAAAATACATTAAAAAGGGAAAAACATTATATATCATATTTTCCATGCATGAAACCATTTTAGCTATCCAATATTAATGGGTTATATCTCAACATGAATAGAACTCGGGATCATCCTTGTGTAACCCCATTGCAACACTGATCCTCTAGGGTTTTAGTTAAAATTCTGTGAAAAATCAAAAAAAAAAAAAAATGAAAAAGCTATTCATGTTACCTTAAACTTGATTTTCAAAAAAACAAAACTTTTGTGGACCATACTTTGAATGAACAGTAAAAAATGATAAATTAAAATACCTTTTACTTTAGCACCAAGAAACCTATTCGACTCCTTTCTCTAGCTCAACTTCTTCAAACAGGGGTGAGCCACACTGTTAGACAATTTAGCCTTTACAAGTTACAGTGAAAATTTATATCATTTAATCATAGTTAAGTAACCTGAGTTAGGTGATAAATGTATAAAAGACATATGTCTTATATTTACTGGTCTAATATAAATATATAAATATTTATTTTGATAACAAAATATAAAAAAATGCCATTTAATTATGGTTAAATAACCAACCATAGGTAAGTATAATAAAAAGACACATGTCATATATTCATTCATTTAATATAAATATCTATTTGAGATCATAGTTAATAAAGGTAAAAGAACTACTGGGACATATTTTTGACGATCAATTGTACGTGCACTAACCTTTTCATTCCAACAGTGACTCTTTGGCACTCCCAAATGAAACAAAATAATCAATCCAGTAGTACGTTTTTAAGGATTCATTTCTATCTAATTATTAAAAATGATTAAGTTTTATATGCTGACACTACTAAAATTAGCTAATCGATCATATTACCTAAAAGTTTTATTACGCAAAATTGTTTATGGTACTGTGAATTGGTTAATGGTAAAACTTATCAACAATTGGAGTTTACATTAATCCAACGAATAATTGACACGGGCTTTTTTGAATATATACATTCATTCATCACTTAATTATATTTTATTAGTAATATAAAGTTTTATATCATTTTTATACTTTTTTTTGACAACCATTGTCAAATTACCATTAACTCCAAAAGCCATTACAAATAAAGAGCACCTCCTTTCTAAGTAAAAATAGCACGGTATAGCTAGTTTTCGGATTGGTCATTTAAAAATAGCCACCGTTTACCAAGTCAATGAAAAATAGCCACTATTTTGCTGCAACAAAGACCAGTCCAGCATAATATACTGGAGTTCGGTGCACCTGTGTATGAACTCCAGCATATTTTGCTGGACCGGTATACTTTGTTGGCACCAGTATAATAAACTGGAGACTGGAGCATCGGTGCTCCAAACTCCAGTATATTATGCTGGACCGGTATACTTTGTTGGCACCAGTATAATAAACTGGAGACTGGAGCATCGGTGCTCCAAACTCCAGTATATTATGCTGGACCGGTATACTTGCTGGAACTCCCGTATATTATGTTGGAGTTCTAGTGTACTTATGTTGGAACTTCATCATATTAAGCTGGAGTTCCAACATACTTATCCTGGAACTCCAATATAATATGTTAGAGTTCAAGTATACTTATGCTGGAACTCCAGCATAATATACTGGCATATTTTCCGGGTTTTGAACACTGCTTTCGCTCAGATTTATCTTTACATGAAAAGTGGCTAAATTTCGATTACTTTTGAAACTGGCTATTATTGAACAACCAGTTGTAAATCTGGCTATTTTTGAATTTCACCCCCTTTCTGCATCAGAAATTTGGCCTCCAACGAAACAAGAAAATAACTACAATGTGCTCTAACTACATACGAAAATCTTCCAGTTTCTTGCACGTCATGTGTGGTAAATCACAGCTCCATTGGTAGCAGCTGCCACTTCTTTCTTATAGACCTTCCAATGTTTCATGTTTACACTATCCAAAGACTGTGAGATATTTCCTGCTTGTATCTTGATGTCTGTTCATTGATTTACCTCTTGTCTTAGAGTTGTGATCCATGTACACTCCACAAATAAGTGGATATTAGTTTCAATCATGTGAGCATTACATAAATAGCACTTGTTATCCTCCAGTGGAACTGCCAACTTGAGTAATCTCTCATTTGTGAGTAGCCTCCCATGCACTGTCAACCACACTATAAACATTTGCTTAGGTTGAGCTATTGAAGTCCATATCGGGTTTGCTATCTTCAACTTAGGATGTTCACCAATGAGAGCAAGATAATTACTAGTAATGGAGTAGTCACCACTTCTAGTAAGCTTATAATTATCTTGCTCATACCAGCTCCGTATTTTGATTTTTAGACCATTAATCTTTCTCCAATACAAACTACTATCTATCGGGGGTTGGTGGTTCCATACATTTATTTTGGCTCTCATGTATACCCCATGTACCCATTTCACCCATAAGGCTTCTTTACATTTAATCAGCTACCATAACAAGTTACCCACTGATGCCATATTCCAGTTTCTGCAACCCTTAACATCCAATCCTCCTAGCTTCTTAGGATAACAGATCTTTTCCCAAGCAACCAGGGAAAGTTTCTTTCTCTCCTCCGAGCTGCCCCAGAGGTATTCTCTGCATATCATGTCAACCTCCTTGAGTATACTTTGCGGTAATATGAATATTGTGCCCTAGAAGCTATGGATGGAAAACAACACTGCATTAATAATTTGCAATATGCCAGCATGTGATAGAAGCCTTGAGTAGGTGACTCTGATCCCTTGGGTTATTTTCTCTACTAGCATGTGACAGTCAAGCTTATTCCATTTCTTTGGGGAGAGGGGAAGTCCAAGGTACCTTATGCGAAGTGTAACTAGCATAAAACCAGTTATTTCAAGCAACTTCTTCTTAGTATTATCATCCACACCATTCATGAAGATACTAGATTTGTCCATATTTGTTGTCAACCTTGTTACATTGTTAAAGTAATTTATTGCCTCCATAATCCTTTTAACTGAGCTTTCATTTCTTTTACTAAGGATCATCAGATCATCTGCAAATATGAGATAAGTCAGCTTCAGTGTGTTGCACATTGGATGATATTTGAAATCAGGAAGTCTACTAACTGTCTTCAATATCCTTGATAAGTATTTCATAACAAGCACAAATAGAAGAGGGGAGATAGGATCTCCCTGCCTAAGCCCCCTTCTCCAAGCAAAGTATCCATGACTTTCTCCATTGACTTTAACTGAAAATATTGTAGTAGACACACACACACACACCATGATCTACTGAGTAAATTTGTCTGGGAACCCAAAACCCCCAAGAGCTTCTTTAAGAACTCCCAATTCACCATGTCATAAGCCTTCCTCAGATCTATCTTCATAAGATATCTTTGTAGACATGTAATTTTTGACCCTCCACAAGATTTTACATATTTTAGCATTTAAATATTTAATTTAGGCCTAATATCGCTATTTCAACTAGTTTTGACTCTTTTATCTTATTTTGTCACAAAAATAAAAGTTAACAAAATATTTTCTTTTATTTAGGTAATTGATATTTATCTTGTTACTTTTAGTTTATCTACCTTTCATAAAATACAAAAATAGTTTCACTTTATTTTCAAAAATATTAGTATTTTTAGTAGTATTATTTTTATGTTGCGATGATTTTAATCTAACCCTATTTTTATTTTTAGTATGATATTTGAAAATACCAAAATAGTTTCCTATTTTATATAGTGTAATTAATTGGATTGATTTTTGCATTATGTAATATAGTTATCTTATATATTAAAGAGATTTAGCTAAGGTTTTAGACAATAATTTTTGGAGTCTTGGAGCCCAATTTTAAGACCCAACAAGATGAGCCCAATCCCCTTAAAACCAAAAAAAAAAGCCTAATTTCCTAAGACCTAAGAGACCCCATCAGAAGCTTCTTCTTCTTCTTAACCCTTCAGCCATGGCTTCTCTACTTCAGACCTTGAACACCTCAAGAACCCTAGAGAAGAAGATCTCCCAGCCGTCACCCTCACCAAGAGACCCCTCACTGCCGTTCTTATTCTTCAACCGCCCATCGGCTGCTCGCCGACCACATGCACGCACACAGCCAAACGACCACCCACATCTCCTCCACCCTAAAGCAGCACAAACACACACACACACACACACACATACTCATTCTAGCGAAAATCCCTGATCTCTCACACAGAAGAGAACCAACAGCCGCCGCTACAGTCGCCCACCCTTATCTCCGCCAAAACCCATCCACCCATCAATGTCGCCTGCCCTACCCGCTCTAACCTCTCCCGCCGCCTCCCATATCTTGCCCACTGCTACTTCAACTCAAGCCACTGGCATAAAACACGCACATACAGTCACAGATAGAAAAAAATTACGAGACAGACGAAGAGTTCCCTTTCCCTTATTTTCATTTTTCATTGAAATTCCATAAGAGAATTATACATTAAAAATGTTTCTATTTTGTGAATTAAGGCTTCTTGGGCAAGGACAGAAAAGAGACATATACGTACATAGACAACTTTCATTTTTCTTTGGTTTTAAATTTCTAAAACATGGAATCTAGTTAAGTTTGGAGCCGTTTTGAGTTCGAGCCGTTTGACATTGTTCGTGGGGGTTTCGAGTTCCCGATTCCAGCCCTGTTCCATAGTTTTGTTCGAGTATTTGTGAAGCTCGATTTCATTTTGAGGTTCAATCTTAAACTCTACTTCTTCTATTTATTCTCTTATGTGAATATTCTGTGCTGGTTTGTTATTGCATTTTAGTTGTTATCATGTGGTGATTTGCAGTGTCAATTTCAAATTTGTTTGAGTTGGTTCTTTGTTTTTTTAATTATAAGAAAATAGTTGAACTCACATTATAGGAATACAAACATGTGCTGAAGAACAAATGTACTTAACAGTCAAACGTATTGGATTGTTTTGCTTAAATGGGTATGTGGGTTTTGGACTAAAATTAAAAAGAGTTTAGACTCAATACAATTTCATTACTCCTGTGTTTTTGGGTTGGATCGTTAGGAGCATGTTTTAGGTCGTCATCACCTCGGTAGGCAAACTTTAGGATGTTTGTTAGCTTTGAGGCGAAAGATTGTTCCCTTAGCTAAATTTATCCGGGGAATGCCCCGAAGGATCTGTACATAGTTTATTCTGGGGAATGCCCTGTAGTATTTTGTAATTGGAGGCCGCGGCGAACATCGTAGAATAAGTAGCGTAGGATAATTTAGAACTTTAATTTTA